CAAACTATTAAATCACGAGCAAGTTGAATCACAGAGTACCTAAAGCATCGGTTCAAGGGCACATTTCTCATTTAAGCCAAGTTCTACACGTCAGTGTTTGCATGCGATGGTAAATTAACAAGCGGAAGAATGGGTCCAAGAATGGCTTCTGGATTTCAACACCAGCAAGTGCAAGGTGACGAAAATGTAAATAGGTGATAGTACAGAATGGTAAACACAAAGGAAAACTAGGTCCTTGTAACGCCGAGAGAAGATGACTTGGGAGTGAAGACGACACCAAAACCAGCTCCATGAACACAAACACGATAACATCAGCAACCCACCTGTAGTTCTCACTACAGGGCCGGTGGCTGTGTAGACAGCACGCTTGATACGTAGTCATGTGGATCGGGGTTCGATTCCCGGGGCCAGCAGAAACAAATGGTCAGAGTTTCTTTGACTCTGATGTCCCTGTTATCTAGCAGTAAATAGGTACCTGGAAATTAGACAGCTGTTACGGGCTGCTTCCTGGGGGGTGTGGGAGTGTGAAAAAAGTAGTAGTTAGTAACAGTTGGTTGACTGACAGTTGAGAGGCGGGCCGTAAGAGCAGAGCTCAACCCGCGCAAGCACAACTAGGTGAATACATTGATAAAACTCAGTACAGCATTCAACATCCTACATATGGCCATCAGATCAATATGCATCACCTACGTGGGACCATTCCAAATGTTTGCAGCGCCATCAAACAACAATGAACAGCTGGGACTAACGTCGCTAGAAAAGAGGATAGAGGAGACATGATGATAAACTACTAAGGGGAAGTGAGAGGGTGGAGTAAAACATTCACAAAGAATAGAAACAGAAGAAGAGCGCTTGGATGGTAACTTGAGAGACAGACACGTCTCAGATGTTACAGATTGCTCTAGCCAGGGAATAGTAGGAAAGGTGGGGGTCAGGAGCTAGAGCTCGATCCTGTTGGCACAAATAGGCGAGGACACACACGTAAGCATTCATTCATTTATTTAATTTAATTATTATGTACCCCATCCCTATCCCACGCCCTGGCTTGATTACCCAGAACCACACAAGCCACACCACCAACCAACAAAAACCACACCACCAACCAACAAAAGCCACACCACCAACCAACAAAAGCCACACCACCACCAACAAAAGCCACGCCACCACCAACAAAAGCCACACCACCAACCAACAAAAGCCACACCACCAACCAACAAAAGCCACACCACCAACCAACAAAAGCCACACCACCAACCAACAAAAGCCACACCACCAACCAACAAAAGCCACACCACCAAGCAACAAAAGCCACACCACCAAGCAACAAAAGCCACACCACCAACCAACAAAAGCCACACCACCAACCAACAAAAGCCACACCACCAGCCAACAAAAGCCACACCACCACCAACAAAAGCCACACCACCAACCAACAAAAGCCACACCACCAGCCAACAAAAGCCACACCACCACCAACAAAAGCCACACCACCAACCAACAAAAGCCACACCACCAACCAACAAAAGCCACACCACCAACCAACAAAAGCCACACCACCAACCAACAAAAGCCACACCACCAACCAACAAAAGCCACACCACCAAGCAACAAAAGCCACACCACCAAGCAACAAAAGCCACACCACCAACCAACAAAAGCCACACCACCAACCAACAAAAGCCACACCACCAGCCAACAAAAGCCACACCACCACCAACAAAAGCCACACCACCAACCAACAAAAGCCACACCACCAGCCAACAAAAGCCACACCACCACCAACAAAAGCCACACCACCAACCAACAAAAGCCACACCACCAACAACAAATTCGCGTTATTAACAACAAATTTAATATTTACTAATGTCTTTAAGTACGAGTCATCTATCATCTACGCACCTACGAAACCTGTACATCTCTCCCCAATCATGGCGGCAGTGTTTACATATGTTAACCAAGTTATGAGCTCCGAAGCACTAACGAGGTTGTTTATAACAACAACAACAACCTTGGGTTGTGAGCTTTCCAACCTCGTAAACTGTTTAATACACGTCAACAAGACCGCCATGACAGAGAAGAGATGTAGAGGTTTCGTTAATGCGTAAATACTCTTTATAATAAGTCTTCATAATATTGTTCCACAATAATAAAGGTCAAGCAGGATCAGACTCACAGGTCCTAATCACCATAATTAGTGCCAATTGTCTCCCGATATTGGGTAATTAAGCATGAGCGGTCGTCGCTGATTAGACAGAGGTACGGCATTGTACGTGACTCCTCCCCCCCCCCCCTTTATTAGGCTCTGGCATTATTGTAGTTCCTCCCGTTGACCTTATTTAGCTATGCCATCCTCTGATGCAACCAATGGTGCCGTAAATACAGGTGGAAGAGGGCCAGGGGCTGAACTTTTCTGTGCCCTGCTGAACGCTCTCTTCCTCATGTAGCTGTGACCTGCAAATAGCCCTTCAATCTGATCTTATGTGGCTACACCATACTGGACGTTTCTGCTCTCGATATTCACAGGGTTACACGAACACACGCACGAACACACACACACACACACACACACACACACACACACACAACTAGGTGAGTACACACACACATACACACACACACAACTAGGTGAGAAGACACACACACACACGCACACACACAACTAGGTGAGTACACACACACACACACGCACACACACAACTAGGTGAGAAGACACACACACACACACACACACACACACACACAACTAGGTGAGTACACACACACACACACACACACACACACACACACACAACTAGGTGAGTACACACACACACACACAACTAGGTGAGTACACACACACACACACACACGCACACACAACTAGGTGAGAAGACACACACACACACACACACACGCACACACAACTAGGTGAGAAGACACACACACACACACACAACTAGGTGAGTACACACACACACACACACACACACACACACACACACACACACACACACACACACACACACACACACACACACACACACACAAGGAAATCTGCGAGGTACTGAATGCAAAATTCCATGGAGTGTTCACAACCGAGCCTGAGCAGCTCCCATTGTTAGAAGAGATTACCCAAGATGAAAGACTATCAGATATAGAGGTGACAGCAGAGGATGTAACGAAACAGTTGACAACACTGGATGCAAATAAAGCTGTTGGACCAGACAAAGTATCACCGTGGATACTTAAAGAGGCAGCGCAGGCTCTCGGCGTGCCTCTGGCAATGATCTTTAATGAGTCACTTATGTCGGGAGAATTGCCCAGTTGCTGGAAGGAGGCAAATGTCGTACCGATTTTCAAAAAAGGTGATAGGGAGGAGGCACTTAACTACAGACCCGTATCACTGACAAGCATCCCCTGCAAAATACTTGAAAGAATAATTAGGCTAAGACTTGTTGAGCACCTGGAGAGCATTGGGTTTGTAAACAAGCACCAACATGGGTTCTGGACAGGGAAATCATGCCTAACAAACCTTTTAGAATTCTATGATAAAGTAACAAGGATAAGGCAGGACAGAGAAGGCTGGGCAGACTGCATATTTCTTGACTGCCAAAAGGCCTTTGATACGGTACCGCACATGAGACTGCTATACAAACTTGAGAGGCAGGCAGGAGTGAGCGGAAAGGCCCTAGTATGGGTGAAGAACTACCTAACAGGAGGGAGCCAGAGGGTAATGGTAAGGGGCGAAAAGTCGGACTGGCGAACAGTAACAAGTGGAGTACCTCAAGGATCGGTGCTGGGACCAATCCTCTTTCTAATTTACGTAAATGATATGTTTACAGGAGTGGAATCATACATGTCAATGTTTGCGGATGACGCAAAATTAATGAGAAGAGTTGTGACAGACGAGGATTGTAGGATCCTCCAAGAGGACTTAAACAGGTTGCAGAGATGGTCAGGGAAATGGCTACTGGAGTTTAACACCAGTAAATGTAAAGTTATGGAAATGGGATCAGGTGACAGGAGACCAAAGGGACAGTACACAATGAAGGGGAACAGCCTACCTGTAACGATTCGAGAAAGAGACCTGGGAGTGGATGTGACACCTAATGTAACTCCTGAGACACATATATATAGGATAACGACAGCATCGTACTATACACTGGCGAAAATTAGAACTTCATTCAGAAACGTAAATGAGGAGGCTTTTAGGGCGCTTTACACTGCCTACGTGAGACCCGTCTTAGAGTATGCCGCGCCATCATGGAGCCCCCACCTGAAGAAACACAAAGAAACTGGAGAAGGTTCAGAGGTTTGCGACGAGGCTTGTCCCAGAGTTACGAGGGATGGGATATGAAGAGCGGCTGAAGGAACTGAACCTTACGACACTAGAGAAAAGAAGGGAGAGAGGAGATATGATAGGGACATATAAAATACTCAGGGGAATTGACAAAGTGGAAATAGATGAAATGTTCACACGTAATAATAACAGAACGAGGGGACATGGGTGGAAACTGGAAACTCAGATGAGTCACAGAGATGTTAGGAAGTTTTCTTTTAGCGTGAGAGTAGTAGAAAAATGGAATGCACTTGGGGAACAGGTTGTGGAAGCAAATACTATTCATACTTTTAAAACTAGGTATGATAGGGAAATGGGACAGGAGTCATTGCTGTAAACAACCGATAGCTAGAAAGGCGGGATCCAAGAGTCAATGCTCGATCCTGCAAGCACAAATAGGTGAGTACAAATAGGTGAGTACACACACACACACAACTAGGTGAGAAGACACAAACACACACACACACACACACATACAACTAGGTTAGAAGACAGAAAGGAGAATATAAACCAAATTATGATAAAATATGACGAGACACCACATGTACGTTCACATATATGCACACACGCACATACAACTCTGTACACGACCTCTGCAGCCCCCGACCTACGTAGCCTCCTGACCTACGAGGGCCCCTGACCCACGCAGTCCCTGACCTACACAGCCCCCCGACCTACACAGCCCCCCGACCTACACAGCCCCCCGACCTACACAACCCCCCGACCTACACAACCCCCCGACCTACACAACCCCCCGACCTACACAACCCCCCGACCTACACAGCCCCCCGACCTACACAGCCCCCCGACCTACACAGCCCCCCGACCTACACAGCCCCCCGACCTACACAGCCCCCCGACCTACACAGCCCCCGACCTACACAGCCCCCCGACCTACACAGCCCCCCGACCTACACAGCCCCCCGACCTACACAGCCCCCCGACCTACACAGCCCCCCGACCTACACAGCCCCCCCCGACCTACACAGCCCCCCCCGACCTACACAGCCCCCCGACCTACACAGCCCCCCGACCTACACAGGCCCCCGACCTACACAGCCCCCCGACCTACACAGCCCCCCGACCTACACAGCCCCCCGACCTACACAGCCCCCCGACCTACACAGCCCCCCGACCTACACAGCCCCCCGACCTACACAGCCCCCCGACCTACACAGCCCCCCGACCTACACAGCCCCCCGACCTACACAGCCCCCCGACCTACACAGCCCCCCGACCTACACAGCCCCCCGACCTACACAGCCCCCCGACCTACACAGCCCCCCGACCTACACAGCCCCCCGACCTACACAGCCCCCCGACCTACACAGCCCCCCGACCTACACAGCCCCCCGACCTACACAGCCCCCCGACCTACACAGCCCCCGACCTACACAGCCCCCGACCTACACAGCCCCCGACCTACACAGCCCCCGACCTACACAGCCCCCCGACCTACACAGCCCCCCGACCTACACAGCCCCCCGACCTACACAGCCCCCCGACCTACACAGCCCCCCGACCTACACAGCCCCCCGACCTACACAGCCCCCCGACCTACACAGCCCCCCGACCTACACAGCCCCCCGACCTACACAGCCCCCCGACCTACACAACCCCCCGACCTACACAACCCCCCGACCTACACAGCCCCCCGACCTACACAGCCCCCCGACCTACACAGCCCCCCGACCTACACAACCCCCCGACCTTCACAACAAAACTTGTCTGGGCTGAGAGGATATTGTATTGTATACACTTAAGTCCCAATACGGCCAACCTTACTCACTCTCTCCTTAAGTGACCATGAGTCGCCACAATCATTCGCAACCTGGTGCTTCTGTCCACCTTGCAGTAAGTAGGTATATGGGGGTTAGGATACTTGTGGGATGCATTCTGAGCAACGTCACTAATTGGTCTTATGTGGCCTCAATAAAACACAACAGGCATCAAAGTTCTATGGGAACCAAACATGGACAGACGAGAGAGATATGATAGCGACGTACAAAATACCGAGTGGGGGGAATTGCCCGAGAAGAAAGAAATGTTCAACACGTGTGAAAATAAGAGGTAAACAAGACACTGATGGAAGCTGAGAAGACAGATCAGGAAGATGTTAATCAGAACGGTAGATGATCAGGAGGGTGGATGGTGATCACTTGGGCAGATGCTAATCAGAGGTCAGTATGGTAATCTGAAGGGCAGACCTGAGCCCCACACACTCAGGTCGATATCTGACCTGACTTGACTGCATCGGTGGCCCCTCACATCAGGCAGCTTCTACTACTGGCCCCTCACATCAGGCGGCACCTACTGGGCCCTCACATCAGCCAGCTCCTACTGGTCCCTCACATCAGGCAGCACCTACTGGGCCCTCACATCAGCCAGCTCCTACTGGACCCTCACATCAGGCAGCTTCTACTGGACCCTCACATCAGGCAGCTCCTACTGGGCCCTCACATCAGGCGGCACCTACTGGCCCCTCACATCAGGCGGCACCTACTGGCCCCTCACATCAGGCAGCTTCAACTACTGGCCCCTCACATCAGGCAGCTTCTACTACTGGGCCCTCACATCAGGCAGCTTCTACTACTGGGCCCTCACATCAGGCAGCTTCTACTACTGGGCCCTCACATCAGGCGGCACCTACTGGCCCCTCACATCAGGCAGCTCCTACTGGGCCCTCACATCAGGCAGCTCCTACTGGCCCCTCACATCAGGCAGCACCTACTGGGCCCTCACATCAGCCAGCTCCTACTGGTCCCTCACATCAGGCAGCACCTACTGGGCCCTCACATCAGCCAGCTCCTACTGGGCCCTCACATCAGGCAGCACCTACTGGACCCTCACATAAGGCAGCACCTACTGGTCCCTCACATCAGCCAGCTCCTACTGGCCCCTCACATCAGGCAGCTCCTACTGGACCGTCACATCAGGCAGCTCCTACTGGGCCCTCACATCAGGCAGCTCCTACTGGTCCCTCACATCAGGCAGCTCCTACTGGTCCCTCACATCAGGCAGCTCCTACTGGCCCCTCACATCAGCCAGCTCCTACTGGTCCCTCACATCAGGCAGCCCCTACTGGCCCCTCACATCAGGCAGCACCTACTGGACCCTCACATCAGGCAGCACCTACTGGCCCCTCACATCAGGCAGCTCCTACTGGTCCCTCCCATCAGCCAGCTCCTACTGGGCCCTCACATCAGGCAGCACCTACTGGCCCCTCACATCAGCCAGCTCCTACTGGGCCCTCACATCAGCCAGCTCCTACTGGGCCCTCACATCAGGCAGCTCCTACTGGCCCCTCACATCAGGCAGCTCCTACTGGTCCCTCACATCAGCCAGCTCCTACTGGCCCCTCACATCAGGCAGCTCCTACTGGCCCCTCACATCAGGCAGCACCTACTGGACCCTCACATCAGGCAGCACCTACTGGCCCCTCACATCAGGCAGCTCCTACTGGCCCCTCACATCAGGCAGCTCCTACTGGTCCCTCACATCAGCCAGCTCCTACTGGCCCCTCACATCAGGCAGCACCTACTGGCCCCTCACATCAGGCAGCTCCTACTGGTCCCTCCCATCAGCCAGCTCCTACTGGGCCCTCACATCAGGCAGCCCCTACTGGCCCCTCACATCAGGCAGCTCCAACTGGCCCCTCACATCAGGCAGCTCCTACTGGCCCCTCACATCAGGCAGCCCCTACTGGCCCCTCACATCAGCCAGCCCCTACTGGCCCCTCACATCAGCCAGCCCCTACTGGCCTCTCACATCAGGCAGCACCTACTGGCCCCTCACATCAGGCAGCTCCTACTGGGCCCTCATATCAGCCAGCTCCTACTGGGCCCTCACATCAGCCAGCTCCTACTGGGCCCTCACATCAGCCAGCTCCTACTGGGCCCTCACATCAGCCAGCTCCTACTGGGCCCTCACATCAGCCAGCTCCTACTGGGCCCTCACATCAGCCAGCTCCTACTGGCCCCTCACATCAGCCAGCTCCTACTGGCCCCTCACATCATGAAGCACCTACTGGGCCCTCACATCAGCCAGCTCCTACTGGACCCTCACATCAGGCAGCACCTACTGAACCCTCACATCAGCCAGCGTCTACTGGGCCCTCACATCAGGCAGCTCCTACTGGGCCCCTCACATCAGGCAGCTCCTACTGGGCCCTCACATCAGGCAGCTCCTACTGGGCCCTCACATCAGGCAGCACCTACTGGGCCCTCACATCAGGCAGCTCCTACTGGACCCTCACATCAGGCAGCTCCTACTGGACCCTCACATCAGGCAGCTCCTACTGGCCCCCTCACATCAGGCTGCTCCTACTGGCCCCCTCACATCAGGCAGCACCTACTGGGCCCTCACATCAGGCAGCACCTACTGGGCCCTCACATCAGGCAGCACCTACAGGGCCCTCACATCAGGCAGCACTTACTGGGCCCTCACATCTGGCAGCTCCTACTGGCCCCTCACATCAGGCAGCACTTACTGGGCCCTCACATCTGGCAGCTCCTACTGGGCCCTCACATCAGGCAGCTCCTACTGGGCCCTCACATCAGGCAGCTCCTACTGGCCCCTCACATCAGGCAGCTCCTACTGGCCCCTCACATCAGGCAGCTCCTACGGACGCTAAAATCGGAGCCAGGATACATGTAGACGTACGCGTCCACTGGCGAAACCTGTTCATCTTTCCTCGATCATGGCGGTTCAAGTCTCTCATATTAAACAATTGCAAACAGCAGGGAAACCCTAACGAAGTCGCTCTCAATGACATTGTTGTCATAGATCACCTCGTTTAGTTTATAACAGCTAGTAAAACCATTCGTTAAATGTAAACAACGTCTTCAGAGATCTTTGTTTACCTGTACCTTCATACCTTCACCCTCCCCCCCCCCTTCTCCCCAAGTCCCCCCTTATCCACCCCCTCCATCCAGGCTCCCCTCCCCCTAGCCTTAATCCCCTACGTCCCCCTAACCATCCCCCATCATCCTATGGAGATAATGGGTCGACCTATGATTCCCAGACATTAACTCGTATGACTTAAGACGGAGATCTGCTCTGCATATAGGGAGAAATGGGGGTGGGGAAGGGGGAAGGGTTGGGGGGGAGGGGTGGGGGGAGGGGTGGGGAAGGGAGGGAGGAAGAAAGAAAATGGTGGCGGCGGGAAGAAGAGAAGAGAAGAGGGGAAGGAGAAAGGAAGCGGAGAGTTGATGAAATATTAAGTAAAAATAGGGATGACGATCAGGAGGAGAGGAAGAATAACAGGAGAAGACTGAGACTATTAAAGAATTAGAGAAGATAGGAAGCAAAAGAATTAGAGGATTGGATGAAAACGACAGATTAATAAGAGTGGGAGAGGAGGAAAGTTAGGTCACAGTGGGAGAGGGGAGGCAAGGGGTGAGAATTGGATGGATTGGGGGAAGAGGGGAAGGGAGAGTTAACGATAAGATTAATACAAAGTCTCCCTTTTACAGGCGAAGTGTAGGGAGAGGCAGATGGATCTGCAGGGAGGGGGGAGAGGTACAGGGAGGGGGGAGAGGGGTGCAGGGAGGGGGGGAGAGAGGTGCAGGGAGGGGGGGGGGAGAGGGGTGCAGGGAGGGGGTGAGGAGGGGGGTGCAGGGAGGGGGTGAGGAGGGGGGTGCAGGGAGCGGGTGAGGAGAGGGGTGCAGGGAGGGGGTGAGGAGAGGGGTGCAGGGAGGGGGTGAGGAGAGGGGTGCAGGGAGGGGGTGAGGAGAGGGGTGCAGGGAGGGGGTGAGGAGAGGGGTGCAGGGAGGGGGTGAGGAGAGGGGTGCAGGGAGGGGGTGAGGAGAGGGGTGCAGGGAGGGGGTGAGGAGAGGGGTGCAGGGAGGGGGTGAGGAGAGGGGTGCAGGGAGGGGGTGAGGAGAGGGGTGCAGGGAGGGGGTGAGGAGAGGGGTGCAGGGAGGGGGTGAGGAGAGGGGTGCAGGGAGGGGGTGAGGAGAGGGGTGCAGGGAGGGGGTGAGGAGAGGGGTGCAGGGAGGGGGTGAGGAGAGGGGTGCAGGGAGGGGGTGAGGAGAGGGGTGCAGGGAGGGGGTGAGGAGAGGGGTGCAGGGAGGGGGTGAGGAGAGGGGTGCAGGGAGGGGGTGAGGAGAGGGGTGCAGGGAGGGGGTGAGGAGAGGGGTGCAGGGAGGGGGTGAGGAGAGGGGTGCAGGGAGGGGGTGAGGAGAGGGGTGCAGGGAGGGGGTGAGGAGAGGGGTGCAGGGAGGGGGTGAGGAGAGGGGTGCAGGGAGGGGGGTGAGGAGAGGGGTGCAGGGAGGGGGTGAGGAGAGGGGTGCAGGGAGGGGGTGAGGAGAGGGGTGCAGGGAGGGGGTGAGGAGAGGGGTGCAGGGAGGGGGGAGAGAGAGGTGCAGGGAGGGGGGGGGAGAGGTGCAGGGAGGGGGGAGAGAGAGGTGCAGGGAGGGGGGAGAGAGAGGTGCAGGGAGGGGGGGGGGAGAGGTGCAGGGAGGGGGGGAGAGGTGCAGGGAGGGGGGGGAAATATATGTCATATTTGTCACAAAGAGGCTGGGACTGAAGTCCCAATATGAGTGAAAATAATCCTGGCTAAACAAGTGAGAGAGAACATTTTGAGCAGCAGAATAATGAGAAACATTTGATGGTAGTATACACTAGAATTATTGATATCAATAAAATTCAGAATTTTATGGACAACAGAAGCGGAAAATACAGCCTATGATGGAACACATTACGAAATAAACGATCAATTTGCAGAGGGGTAAACAAATTCTTTGTTTTCAAACATTTACACTCAAGTTAGCAAAATAGGAAGTATTTAAACATAAGTAAATGTAAAGTAATGTTGACTAGCAGAACATTACGAGCAGCTCCAGACGGATGATGCCTCAAGATGAGCAGGATGCTCATCAGGTCACTTGATGTCACTGGATGCTACTTAATAAAGTCACTGGATGCTACTTAATAAAGTCACTGGATGCTACTTAATAAAGTCACTGGATGCTACTTAATAAAGTCACTGGATGCTACTTAATAAAGTCACTGGATGCTACTTAATAAATTCACTATAGGAGCGAGGAGAGCGCCTGAAGACACCTATAGAAACTATAAGTAAGTGGGTTATGAATCCCCAGGCGATAACTATAAGATTCTCTCTTATAAGTCAACTATAACTATTAGTTATAGTTGACTTATAAAGGGCTGCTGGGATGTGAGAATCATCTTAAGGAGATGCCCAGATCCCCACACACTAACCTGAAGTATGAGGTAACCCGGACTATGTCTATCCTCTTCTCACACTATCCTCACCATCGTCTCATCTATCCCCACCGCTTTTTCCCTCCCGATGCCTCCCTTACTCCTCCTTACCCCTTCCATACCACCCCCTTCCTTGCGACTCCAAGAATTCTTACCCCCTTTCTCTCGTACCAGTCAATAACTGTATTCATAAATGCCTGCACATTTACAGTTGACCACAGCACCGCTCCTGTGCCAGGTTAGTCCACTACGGGCTCACCATAGCCCGTGCTACTTGCAACTTGTTCAGAGTAGCTGAATCTATAACAATAATATACAGTTGACTTATACTATTTGCCGGCTATAAGACGCCAATGATTTATAAGAATGTTGAGAATTTGTTTAGTATCTTTCTTCATAAATTTAATATTAGTGATTTGCTAAGAAGATTTTGTAGAGGAAAATATCTTTTTGTGGTTGGTTGGACCAGCGGTTGGTCCAACCAACAATACGGTTGGTTGGACCAAACGCTTACGTCCTATCCGCCTACAAATATTGTAGTTTACAAAATTAAAAATTAAAATACATTAGTAATTTATACGACATAAAATGGGGTACTCGGGTGCGCCCGGGTCTGTCCCTCTGGCCGTTCCTCCCTCTATTACAACCATTTTCTCCCTTTTTTTTTTATTAACATATTAGGTACATCTGCATTAGTGCAGCTACCCTAGACTATATGAAGTGGAGTACAGTGTGTCAAAAAAGCTAACTAGGTGATGCTAAAAATTCCCCATCACACAGGATGGTTAGTCATACAGAGGCATGTGATAAGCGGTCTGCACTGGCAGACTCCGGATGCATTTTGAGGATATCAACAACACAAGATTGAATAAGGTAGCAGTGGTAATACAAGTCCCCATCTCGCAGGATGGTTAGTCATACAGAGCCATGTGTTTAATAGCCTGCACTGGCAAATTTTGGGTATACTGTGAGGATATCTTCAAGAATACGAGAGTGAATAAAGTAATTGCAAAGCTCCTGGAACCTAATGCCAACTGGTCTGAAAGGTCTAATAACTGGGCATTCAGTGATGTAGTGCGGGAGATCATGCCGTAGTTCCTGCTCACAGAGTTTGCAACTGGAGTGCTCAGGATTGGGAGACCCATCACCTGCAGCCAACTGCCACAGGTAACGGTAACCCAACCTGATCCTTGCAACCACTGTGTCGCACAGTCTAGTGGACGTTTTGTGCTGTCCATAGATGTAGCTTTCAGATCTGAACAAATCATAGCTTTTTATACTAGTACTTTCAGGTCGTTGGGAGTCAGTAAGTTCTTTCCTATCAGATCTGAATGTTTGGACCAATACAGTTTTGACAGCAGAGATGGGGATACCTAGATCTAATTCAACTTCAAACTTGTTACACGCTAATTTGGCTGCAATGTCTGTCTCATTATGATGGGTTATATTTATGTGTGAAGGTATCCATACAAAGGAGATTCGAGACCCTTTACTCTGTGCATCAATTAGGTCATTTATAATTGGGAGTATGAGGTTCTTGCTGTCGATCTTCCAAGAGAAGTTTTCGATTGCTTGAAGAGCAGACTTTGAATCGCAGAATATTATTCCTCCTCCAATATTTTTTAATGTGCTGGTTGCTAAATGTAATGCTGCTAGTTCTGCTTGTGTGGAGGTCAGCCAGTTGTTTAACCTGACACTGACAGTCTGTGTGCAAATATTATTTCTATAAAACCTACATGCCGCTGCAGTCCGTCCAGTAGAAGACTGGACTGAGCCGTCGGTGTAGACACA